GCCAATCAAGATCAAAGTACTGCATGTGACAGTAACGGAAGAGGCATTGAGTTTTTCCTGCGCAGGTTGGCATCACAAGTAGAGATGGGGGACAAGGAGTCGGGATAATTAGATAGCTTTCAGGGAAACGATACCTCACCATTCCTTTCCATCTATTCTTGAATGGGAACCTGCATTTCTCTGATTATAGAAGGGGTGCTTTGGCCATGCTGGGCATTTAGAACTGCTGCTGCCAATCAAGATCAAAGTACTGCATGTGACAGTAACGGAAGAGGCATTGAGTTTTTCCTGCGCAGGTTGGCATCACAAGTAGAGATGGGGGACAAGGAGTCGGGATAATTAGATAGCTTTCAGGGAAACGATACCTCACCATTCCTTTCCATCTATTCTTGAATGGGAACCTGCATTTCTCTGATTATAGAAGGGGTGCTTTGGCCATGCTGGGCATTTAGAACTGCTGCTGCCAATCATTTGAAACAGGACATGTAGACCACTGCAAATATTACCATCTGGGTGATAGTGGGCAAGCCCCTAACCTTCTCCGGGTCTCAGTGTCCTGTGTGCACAGGATTGAGAGGGTTAAATGAAATGAAGCTTGTAAAGTATCAACTATGTGCCGGGCACTCTGATAAGGGCTTTACGTGCATGTGGATGATGACGTTTCGTGATGACCCTCTGCCAGAGCTGAAGCTGAAGTTGTGCTGTCTAAAATGACATTTATCTTGATTCAAGAGGGCGAATCCATTTCCCCCAAACCCTGTGGCTGGTCTTGTAGGACACCCTCCAGCCTTGATCATTTAGGGGACCAAGAATTGCTTTGGATTTAATGTGTGGCACTCACCCGGAGCCTCCTGTGGGGTTTGTCTAATTTAGTCTCTTTTTCCATTATGTTAATAAAAATAACTTAATCTGGGGAGGACTTTGCACTTTACATACCCAGTGTTTTTTTTTTTTAATAGACTCACATGGATTCCTTTGAATCTGAAATTAGATATTGTATCTGAAATGTTAGTGTGGGTAGATTTAAGATAAAATTGATTAAATCCATCTATTGAGAAGACTGTGATGGTCCCTTTATTGCTTGATTAGAAAGCTCTAAAGCCCTCAGGCTTTGTTATTGCTTTTGTTTTATGATTGCCGAGTGTCAAAGACCAGTGATGAAGAGTAACTTAAAGCCTGCAGCTGGAGCCATGAGGCTGCAAGGCCGTTTCTGAGCGCCCGGCAGCCTCCTCAGGGCTGGGGGTCCGGCCCGTGGCCCACAGGGGGTGAACACTTGGCTCCAGATGCCGAGCGCTGCTCGTCGTCTTTCTCCAGAGCAAGCTCCTGCTGCGTCCCAGTGAGCACCAGCTCACCCGGGCACAGCCCAGGGACAGGAAGGCTGGGCATGAGCCATGGACTTGGTACCTTGCTCAAGGCACAGCCTTGTCTCAGGAGGCTGGGAGGGAGCGAGCAAGATGCCTGGGACTTCAGTGTCCTCGGTTGCCCACCCAGCACCATTTCCCCTTCTTGTACTGCATTCCTGTGGGAAGCCACTCCTCCCAGCTAGACTCAGGAGAGGTGGTTCTGTCCCCAGTAACAGGGGTAAATCCTGGTAGAGCTAAGTCAGTGGTTCTCAGCCCAATTAGAAACACCTTGAGAGCTTTAAAAAGAAATCATGTGTCTGGAACCCAATCCCTAGCGTTTAAAGCTGGCATAGCCTAGCCTTGAGGTCACCTGGAAGCATGTCAGAGAAACAGACTGTCAGGACCCACCGCAGACCACAGTCAGAATCTCTGGACTAGGAGGACAACAGGCCAAAGGCAGCGGTGGTGCAGCAGATTGTATGTTCCGAGGCGACAGTCACTGACGCCAGCAGCCCGAGCGATCCTGAGTGGAACCACCCTGTTGAGCCCAGTCAACCCCTAAAACTGTCAGAGATGATATGAGTGCAATTGTCTAGAGCTACTGAGTTTGGGAATAGTTTGCTATCTATCAGTGGGTAACTGGAGCTCTGCCCTTGCCTGAGGGTGGGTTAGGAATGGGCATGTGCCGGGAGTGGGCAGTTTGAGCCAGTAAGACATGAGGTGGAGCCTTCTGGTGTGGCTTCCCGGGAAGTCATCTGTGTTGGTAAGAAAGCCACAGAAGCTGAGCCAGTGCTTTTCTTCTTTCTGACGTTGCTATGACACTTGGGAGTACTGCTGCCGCCTTGCTACCAACCCAAGGATAAAGTCAAGCCCAAGGACAGCACAGCCAAGAGACGGAAGAGCTTGGTTCTTGATAGTATTACTAAGCCACTGAATCAGCTAGTCCCAAACCCACACCTACCGGTGGCCTTCCAGGTGTGAAGATAATAAATACTTTTCGTTTAAAGCATTCAAGTCGAACTCACTTGCTGTTGAAGTGCCCTACCTGCTGCAGTGTGGAAAGCAGAAGCCAATCTTCAAAGCTTTGAAAAGGGAGGGTCTCGAGGCAGGGTCAATGCACAGTGGGGGGTGAGGCCTTCCCCCAGAACTGTTCCTCCTGATAGTGAGGAGAGAGCAAGAGGGTGGGGAGAAAGCCCCTCCCAGGCCATGAGCAGCCCAGGAGGGCAGGGCTGAGAACGCAAGTCAGCATGCTTGGGTCATAGAGATGGTGGCCATGAGGGGGCCCTCAGCCCTGAGTCAGCACATCTTCTGTGGGCACCCCCCATGAATTCCCATCTAAGTTCTCATTTAGGCTCACTTCCTCCCAGGGAAGGGTGCCTGTGGAGGCTGCCCATCTCATGGATGGAGAAACTGAGGCTCAAAATGTGCTACTGGTTTTCCCACAGGAAGTGGCTGGGCAGTGGGGGCTCGAGGCCCAGCTCCGAGGTCCTTCCTCCTGCCTAGAGGAAGCCGGGGCTGGGACTCAGCAAGGATGCTGCAGACCCCATCCCTGAGGCCTCAGCCACCAGGGTAGCCAGCCAGTGTCTTGCCTGCAGATCCGAGGCTGAGGCTGAGCTCTTCACACTATTTCTAGGGCAGCTTTTCCAGGGAACCATTAATTCTCTCACCCAGTGCCCGCCTGGAAGCTTTCATCTCCTAACAGACAGTCATATCTTGGGAGCCTTTCAGGCAGGAGCATCTTTCTGTCCTTCTTTTAGCATGAAAGTGGTGCCTCTTGACCTTGAACCTGTGCTTAAAACTTCTGAGAATGGCTGAACAAGGGCCTTACTCCCCACAATGCTGTCTAGGGGAGCAGACACTGGATTGAGAAGCTGCCCCCCATCCCCTGTGGCTGAGAGGAGGGAATGGGCCACTGGGTTCTGCCTTAGGCCCCTCCCTCTAGCTATACTGGGGGGGCCTGCTGTTCGCACTCCATTATATACAGTCTTGTTCTTCTGTGGGTGTCCCCCAAGTATCTACGCTCATCTAAATTCCACATTCTTTGGGGGGTGTCGTCTGGAAGCCCCTGACAGGAGGCAGAACCTGTGGATCCATCATCTGAGCTTGGCTGGGTTTTGTTGAAACACCTACAGCCTTTAAAGTTGGAGACAAAGTCTGGGGACTGAGCCTGGAGACAATTACATCCACCCCCCTCATTATATGAATGAAGAGCTGAGGGCCCCACGCTGCTGGCAACACAGAGAGGGTGGAGCAGCACCCTGATGGGACTCAGGCCTTTGAATAGTGGGCCCACTGCCACCCTGGACCCAGCAGAGCAGGGAGATCAGGCTTCAAGCACAGGAGAAAGCTGGGGCAGACCCAGGGTCACAGGGCAGAACTCTAGGATCCCAGTACAGTTGTGTGTGGGAATCCAGAGGCCTTAGTTCTGCCAGAAGGGCAGGTCCAAGGCCCCAGTGCCCCTCCTGCGTCCTGGAGGGGCTATGGCCGGGCCATGGCTCACCATCCTGTACCTTGGGGGTAGTTCTGGGCCAGCAGATGGGAGCTGCTGAGCCTCACTGCCATGGCAGAGCTCACACTTGCAGTCCAGGCTGGGATCTGGCCCATTTGGGCCTGAGCACAAGTGCATTCAGCAGAACCCACTTCTGCACCCACTCATGATGTGGACTGCTTGTGTTCCAGAAGCAAATTCACTTCCCAAGGATCATGTTAACATGTGAGTGTGTGGTCACTGAGTGTGAGAGAAAAATCAAGACTGGGGAGCTGCAAATGTCTCTGTGTTCTCTCTGGGCATGGCCATGCATGGCGGTGTCGACTCCCCTGACCCTCACCCCTGCAGCCCCCCTGTAAGTCTTAAGGTGGAATGCCATTTCTCTTGTCCTCCTCTGCCCTTTATCCACTTGTGGTGGTTAATTTCATGTGTCAGCTTGGCTGGGCCCTGGTGCTCAGATATTATTCTGGCTGTTTCTGTCAAGGTTGTTTGCAGGATGAGATTAACATTTAAATCAGTGAATTTAGAGTAAAGCACATAACCCTTCATAGTGTGGTGGGCCTTGTCCAATCAGTTGAAGACCCCCCCAATAGAACAAAGACTGACTTCTCCCTGAGCAGAAAGGAAATCCGCCAGCAGATGGCCTTCAGGCTCAAACTGTAACTCTTCCCTGAGTCCCCAGCCTGCTGGCCTCCCCCTGATTTTGGGCTCCCCAAGCCTCCATCATCATGTGAACAATTCCTTAAACTAAATGTATTCGCATCTTGTGGGCGCTGTTCCTCTGGAGAACCCTAATACATCACTTTCATTTAGGGAGAAAGGACAGTGACTCAAACATAAAGGAGGTGGCTCCCCTCACACATGGCCCTTGAGAACATCACAGAGAAGCTGGTGGCGTCTGGGGACCTGCCCCCTCAACACGCGCAGCCCTAATGATGACCATTCCTCTGGAGGCTGGCTGGTGGGGAGGGGGGTCATTGCCCTGCCCTGGGGCGAGGAGGAGGCTGGTGGGCTCCAGATGGGAGGGGACTGGTGTCAGAACTATTCCTGCCCGGTGACTAGGAGCCCAAGTGGTCTTACTCCATAATTCATCAGACTTTGTTTCCCCCTCCCATTTTTTGAGGGTGAAAAAGATAAAAACTCACAAATGTATTTTTTTTTAATTGCTGGAGAAAACAAAAGATCAGAAAGTGAATTGGAGAAGGGACCCTAATGGTGATTCTGAGTTGAGTTTACACACTTTAACATCTGATAAAAATCTTTCGATTATGGAGAGGCTGCAAAGAGGCCCCACTTCTGAGACTAATTTATAGATGGAAAAGACACTGTAATGGTTGCACAATTATTGACGCATTCACCCATCCCTTATGAGGGGAGACACCAACCCAGAACCTGTTCCTTAGGTAGGCGTAGAGTGCATGCCCCCTGGGCATGGGCTGCTTGCATCAGCTGCTCAGCATCCGGGCCAGTAAAGGCCCGTCTGAGTGATGTCACAGGCAATAATCAGCTTGTGTTTAGGAGTGGATTCCATTTTTCCCTTGTGCACAAAAACAAGCCTGGCACAGTGACAGAGAAGGAATGCTATAGAGAGAGAAAAAGGGCATTTTAAGCTAATTACAATGGCAAAAACTGGAATAAAGCACATTTCAACAACTGTCTGGTTTGGAAATGCTATCTAATGGTCTCCAAGTACACTAACCCATTCCTCTGCTGTAGGGGAGAATGTGGTTTCCGGATCATTCTATAAACAGTAACCTGACACTACAAGTCATTGTAGGGGCCTAATGGGCTGGAACGTTGGGTCTTTACAGTTGCTACCAGTTTATAGGCAAGGGGTAGTCACATATGAGGGCAATTGGGAACTTTCTATGTGAGGACGAATCATTAGAGTGGGGGTGGCTGTGTGGGAGAGGGGCTTGGAAATAATTCAGGCCAAGCCGCTCTCAGTGGAAGCGGCTGCTCAAGGATTCACACTGAGATAGTGGCTGGACTGGGGCCAGAATGGGCTTCTCTTCTCTTTCCCCTCTACTATGCTGTGAAAAGAGTAGAAAAACCTACCTACGAAGTCACTTGCCTGTTGTGGGCTGATTTGTGTCCCCCAAATTCATATGGTGGACCCTCATCTCTAGTACCTCAGAATGGGATTGTGTTTGGAATGGTGGCCCCTCAACAGTGAGTAGGATGGGCTCCAATTCAATGCAATGTGTTTTTGTAAGAGACAATGTGGACACCAGGGGTGTGCACACGTGCAGAGTAAAGACAGGTGAGGATGCTTCGAGAAGATGGCCATCTGCACACCAGGGAAAACCCTCAGAAGAAACCAAACCTGCTGACACTTTGATTTTGGGCATCCAGCCTCCAAAACTGATAAAATAGATGTCTGTTGCTTAAGCTGCCCAGTCTCTGGCATTCTGTTATGGCTGCCCTAGCAGACTAACATGCTGCCCTTCTGAAAGCCACACACGCTAGATGCTCGGTGTTCTGGGATGCTCGGCAGAGCCCGTGTCGCCCACTGTGGCTGTGTACCCAGAACTGAAATGCTATCTTAAGAAGAGCAAGAGAGAAAAGCTGGGTTGGCAGAAATACCCAGCAGAGAGCTACTCACAATCTCAAAACCCAAAATGCATGTGCTGAGAAGACCCCGGGGAACCGAGGGGCCGTGTCCTGCAGTGGTCCTCCTGCCACTCCTCCCTCCCACAGTGGCTCTGTGGAAGGAGCTGCACTTCCCAGTTCGGGTTTCCTACTGGGAAGATGGGCACCACCTGCCTCGTCTTCTGGAGGCATCTACTTGCCTATGTATGTCCCAGACTGAGGAAGCAGACACTGCCCTCTATTAGAATTAATTGGCAAACCCCAAATGTTCACGGGCACCCTCAGAAGAGCAGCTGGGTGGTTCCAAGTCTGGCTTGTTCAGACTTAAAATGCACCAGGTGTCGGCAAATCCAGCTCCAAATGCCAGACAACCTCTTAGAAAGCTGCCTTCTACTTAGGGGGTGCGGACGTTTGTCTGTCTACATGATTAGATTTCAGGGCCTTGGATGGGAAATACTGCCTGTGTGAGCGGGGCCTGTAATCCCAGGGCCTGAAGCAGGAGCTCCTGGTAATACCGCCTCGGGCCAGCCAAATTCTGAAACTCTTACTGTCAGAGCCACTCCTTTGAGTTAAGGCATTAGAGGCCCGTTATATGTTATGAAGGGGCCCTGCATATTAAGACATCATCAGCCATTAACATCTCTTAGTGACTTCATCAGAGTGGCCTCAGACCCACCCTTGGGGGCCAAGCCTAGGGCAGCCCTGAGGTCTGGTGGGAGCCTGCGGGGTGGAGGGGCAGGTGGAGAGCACAGACAGGTGTGTGTATGGGGGGATGTGGGTGACAAAAAAGGATACAGGATTTCACAGGAAACACTGCTTGACGATTCTGAACCAGCCAGACCTCCTTATCGGTCTCCTTTTGGCCTGATGGCCCGGACATGAGCGCGAGAGCCAGGCCAGTTGGGAAACACACAGTCCGGCTGGGTCTGTGTAAAGAACTTGGCATCTCAGAGCTGGCCTTGGTCTGGGGCCATGAAATAGGGTGCGCAGGGACCGACACACAGCTGGGGCACTCACCTCTCCCAGGAAAGGGGAGGCCTGCAGGAGTACTGGCACACAGGAGGGGGGTCTAAACCCAGGCTCTCAGCCGGTCGGCTGACACCCACCTTGGGGCAGTTAGAGCTATTCTGGGGGAAGCAAGGGGAAGACACAGGTCAAGGGGTAGCAGTTAAGCAAGGAGGTAGCCCGGGCCTGTCAACTGAGGGCCTGGGGTTCGCAGGCCAGCAGGGGAGCATGGGAGGGGCCGTCTGGGGCCCACAGTCCAGGGAGGAAGGCCGCTGGGCTCAGCAGGGGGAAGATGACATCTGGTCATAGTCAGGGCACTTGAGCAGGGCTGGATAGTTGCTGCTCATCTGCAGGGAGGCATCGCTGGATATGTCGGAGGGGCTGCGGCCTCGGACCCAGGCGTCCGGGTGCAGGAACTGACCCGAGTAATCAGAGCAGTTGCTGAGGCGTGGGCGGTAGAAGCTGGGGTGAGGCCTGTACGCGTCCTCGGCAGTGTACCTCTTCATGAACAGGTACACGGACATCACCCCGGCACTCTACAGGGAGGAGAAAGCAGAGGGCAGCTCACGGCTGGGGGCCTGGCCTTGCTGCCAGCACTCTGCACAGGACACAGTGTGAGTGGATGGAGCTGGCACAGGAGGTGAGGGAGTGATGCATTCGGGGGAGGAGGACGGCGCTCGAGGGGGTGGGTCCAGGACGTGCGGGGCATCGACCTCCTCCCTCCCAACCTGGGCACTGCCCTGCCCCTACCCAGCCTGACGGAAGGGGTTTACCTCTGTTAAGAGGAAGGAGATGGCAGCAAAGGCAAACGACCACCCGTACTTGTAGCTGAAGTAGGTCTCTGCATCCTTGGTCCTGTTGAGCATCTCATCATTGATGCTGGAGATGTAGAGCACCAGGCCCACCACCAGAGAGAGGCCTGGGTCAAGGGCAAGGGGGTGCTGAGCAGAGGCCCAGGAGTGTGCTGATGGGGCACCCACATCCCCTCGGGGCCTAGGTGGAAAGCCACTGGTCTTGTGGTCATGATGCCCTGCTTCTGGAGTTCCAGGAGGGCAGGAGTCCTCTTCCTGGGGTCCCTGCTCAGACTATTACCTTCTAGAAAGCAGAGAGCTGCAGGTAAGAAAGCTCCTTCTCCAGGCACCTCTTCAGCCAGAGTAAGCCTGCTGGTTCTCACCCACCTGCCCACTGGAATCACCTGTCAGACGTACATGCCTGAGCCCCACCTCCAGACATCCTGGGTCCCTTGGCCTGGGCCTGGGCTCTGGCCCTGTAGCATCCTAAAAGCTCCCTAGGTGGTGCTAATGTAAACGGAGGGTGAGAACCCCGGCTAGCAGCATCCTTTGCTAAAGTGAGGGATGAGATAGGCTCCCTTAACAGGGGCAGCCAGGGCCTCTGATCCCTGACTCCAGCAGTGGGTGGGTGGTAACATCATGGGGGAGACCAAGTGGTCCATGGTCTACACAGCCCAAGGCCAGGCAGTGGCCTGCTGAGATTGTTAGGCAGGAGAGTTTAAAAAGAGTTTACCCAGATTCTGGCAAGAACTAAATTGGGAGGCCAGTGGGGCCTGAACTCCTACTGCCTTTGTGCAAATGACGACCTCAGGTATGGGTCCCATCAATTAGTGGCTGCAAGTGCATCAGGACCTAATTAATTACTTTGTTTTGAGTTGTTCAGGTTTAATTCTATTCACATGATTAAAGTAGGGCATCTTCAGAGATGAATGTTAAAGGAAAATAGGTGTGACTCAAGCCTAACTCACGTTTGAATCGTTGTTGGCCCAAGTGAACCCTCTCCATTGTTATTAAAACAACTTCATGTGGCCCAGTTCAGTCTGAGATTTCTGACCATATTGCCCGCCTCTGGAAACCTCAGGTGCCTTGGAGCTGCCATAAGCTCTGACTACCTCAAAGTTCCCAGAAAGACACAGGAGGGGCTTAACCCTGGGCCTGGACATCTGGGACTAGGTAGAAACGTCAGAGGGTAGGACACGGCAGGTGCTCAATATATATGTGTTGGATTGAGAGGTGGAAGGGTGGATGAATGAATCCATAGCAGGAAGAATGGATGGAACATGAGTGGGCGAATTAAAAAGCAGATGGACAGATGCATGGAAGGATGAATGCATGGAAGGAGAAATGAAAAAAGGAAAGGGAAGGAGAGGCAGGGAAAGAAAAGGAAGAAAGGAAGGCTGGCTCTTGGGCATCAGGCATTCTGACTGCCACCTGGCTCCTGAGCTATACTGACAAGAAAATGTTGGGGAAAGAAACCTAAACTGGAGTGTAAGCCAGGTGACAATCAGAATACCTGGCACACAAGAGCTATGTTTCCTCTCCTCTTTCCACCCACGCATCCATCCACCTACCCACCCATCCACCCACCCACTACTCAAACCATCCATCTGTCCATCCACCATCTGAGCCTCCCCTTCCTAGCCCATCCCTGGCTATCCCTAACCCACCCACAGGTCCGGGCTTCTGGACACCTTAATACACGCTCTGACAGTCGGCCTGCGGGGTTATCTCCAAAATAAAAGGTCCTCATGAAAAGGCACAGGTCTCCTTGAGGGGGAGCAAGAGCCTATCCTTATTTACCACATTGTTCCCCCTTCTTACTCTGCACAGTCCTGAGGGTGATCTCCCCCATGTCCACAGGTCTCTCTTCTACTCCCTGGGCTGACTGCTCCCAAACCTCTGTCTTTGGATCAGGCCACTTCCAAGGGCGTCAGACCCAGAGCCTCCATCAGCCATCTGTGCACCTGCTCCTAGACGTTACATGGGCACCCCAAACTCAGCATTCCCCACACGAAACACGTATCTTTGCCCCAGATTTGTTTCTTCTCCTGTGATCTCTAGGTCAACGATGCAACGTGCCATCTGGCCAGTGCCAGGGAAGAACTTAGCACTCGCCCTTGACTCTTCTCTTGAAAGCTGGGTCCTAGGCCTCTGAGTTTACCTTCTAAATGTCACCTGGATCCTCTTATTTCTCTCTTTTCTGCTATCATCCCCTCCCCTCCCTGCACTACTGAAACGGCCTCTCACCTGCTTTGCTGTCCTCCCTCCATTCCCCTAAGGGCTCGTTCAAAAATCCCCAGCTCTGATCACATCATTCCTCAGCTCTAAATCCTTCCAAGCTTCTCACAAACTCCCAACATCCACAGGGGACCTCAGACGCCTTCCCCAGTCTCTCCTCCTTATGCTCCCACCATGGTGAGCCTCTTCCCTGACCGACCCTTGGTCTGAGGTTCGACCACTGGTCCTGGCCCCACAGCAGGCCTTGCTGACCACTACCACCGTCTTCTCATGCTGTGTTCGGATTTCCTCTTTTCTTATGTTGGCCACAGCGCTGACCTTGTAGGCAGTGGGGCCGGCTCCCAGAACAAGCCTGGTAGCTATCGTGAGTGAAGGATGGAAAGAATGACGAAGTACAGCCTGGTGTCAGTCCAGAAGGCAGATCCACAGGGAAAGCACCTGGGCAGGCCTGGGGCATGGGTGTGACTGGAAGGTGAAGGGGACAGTAGGAATCTCCTGGGAAGTAGAAGCGCCATTGTTTCAAAGGCAGATTGTATTTGTCTTTCATGCAAAAACATGAAGACATAGCCCCTTCAAAAATTGCAACACTCATTATCAGCGGGAACTAAAAAGCAGGGGTGGTGATGGTGTGGTGTGAGGACAGAACCCTGGGTGCTAATCCCAGCTTTGCCCGCGGGACCCTGTCAGGCCCCTCCTCCTCCAGAGGCAGTGGCTGGGCCTCCGGTTACGGACGTCTCCTCCAGCCCTGAATCAATCCTGCCTGGGTGCTGACTCGGTTGGTCTGGAGCGAGGGGTGGTCCTACGGCCGTGACCAGGACTTCCCAGAGCAGAGCATTTAGGGGGTCAAATACAAAAGCTCAGAGTGCTTGAAGGCAAGTGACGCAACATACCCGAGAGGATGAAGAAGATGCCGGAGACAAAGGCCAGGATCGTTCTGTGGGGACGGATGTGGCCGATGTTGCTCAGGATGAACCCAATGAACATGAAGAAGAGGCTGACCAGCGGGAACGGTGTGGCCGACCGGATCATTTCTGATGGGGGGGACCAGAGGACGCCGTCAGCCACCCCCAGCCGGTGCTCCTGGCGGTGTCTGGCTGGTCCCCAAAGTCCCTGCCCGCACGGGCAACCTGGGGTCCAGCCCCTCCTGCGGAGGCCGGGGGACCTCGGCGCCCACAAGGCTTTTGTCCTGAGGCAGACCTCTAGGTGCCTCTGCATTCAGGGCCTCTGTCTTCTCCAGGCAGAAACTGATTCCTCCAGCTGGGTTAGCAGGAGTCTCACCTGCTTGCCAGCACGTGGGCTGCGGCCACCTCATCTCACTTCCTCCCCTGGGGCATTTGTCATCTCCGTGGGCAAGAGCTGCTCAGAGCAGGGCAGGAGATGGTCCCTGGCCTCTGTCTTCATTAACAATAATTACTCAGGCCGTGGTCGCTGTAATGGTCTTGCCCTTGGTTCCTGAGAGATGACCTTTAAGTCCTTGGACTTTCCCAAGGGATAGGAGTACCTTTGTCACTGATTGGGGGGCCCCTGGACCACACCTGAATTTAGCAACAGATGACTCAGCATGGGAGCTGGAAAGACCGACCATGTGATAAAGGCCTGTTGAGGGAGGGCAGGGGGCTGGAGATGGTGTTCAGTCAAGTGGTCCATAGCTCAATCACTCGTGCTATGTAATGAAACCCAACAAAAACTCTGGGCACCGAAGCCTGGTCGAGCTTCCTGGTCAGTGAGCACTTCAATGTGCTGGGATGGTGATGCGTCCTGACTCTGTGGGGATGAGACGTGCAAACGCTGCCCGGCAGACCTTCCCAGACCTCACCGTAGGTGTCTCTTCCTTTGGACGGTGCTGATTTACACCCTTTATAATAAAACTGTGAAGGTAAGTATAGTGCTTTCCTGAGTTCTATTAGTTCTAGGAAATCTTTGAACCTTGGGAGGTCACGGGAACCTCCAATTTGTAGCCCACTGGTCAGAAGTGCCGTGGCCTGGGGACTTCTGAACCTGCGGCTGGCATATGAAGTGAGGGCACTCTGGTTGGGACTGTGCCCTTAGCCTGCGAAGTTTTTGCTAACTTGGGGTGATTAGTATCAGAATTGTATAGCAGGTTCACCTTGGGGATCTTGCTCTGGTGGGGCAAGGGGCGTGACGTCAGTCTCACTGGGGGCCAGAGAGCTTCGATCAGCTCCTAGAGTGCAATGGTCTGAATGTTTTTGTGCCCCCCAAATTCCTATGTTGTAACTTAATGCCCAGTGTGATGGTACGTGCGGTGGTGCTCAGGTCATGAGGGTGGAGTCCTCATGAATGGGATTAGTGCCCTGATGAAAGAGACCCCAGAGAGCAGCCCCATTCCACCCTCCATGTAAGGACACAGCAAGGGGACACCAGCTGCGAACAGAAAGAGGGCCTTCACTAGAACGTGACCACGCCAGAGCCTTGATCTTGGACTTCTAGTCCCCAGAACTCAGGGAAGTAAGTTTCTGTTGATGGGAAGTGACCTGGTCTACGGCATTCTGTTGCAGCCTGCACTGCAACACTGGGCCTGGGTACCCTCTCACTTGCCTGGGTCCCAGGGCTTAGAGACTCCAGAAACCCACCACCACTGCTGAAAAAATACTCGGCAGAGCGAGCTCTGGCGAGCTCAGGCCATCACGACCAGCCGAGTGTAAGGGCAGTCGCTCCCGAGAAACAAGCTGGTCTCCCGCCTCTTCCCCCTGCCCCGCTCTGCTCTGACCAGCCAGTGAGCCAGGTTGGACAGTCTGAGGCACCTACTTAGAACGTTGACAGTGGACTCTGACGTCAGCTGGGCGTTCACGGGCATCACGTACTCTATGGTGAAGCAGCGGCCCTGCTCCTCACCTAGGAAGACAAGAATCACTTACATTCCTGGGTCCTTCTTGAACACAGATTCGCAGTTGGTACATTCAAATGGTATTTTCAGATCTTCTAGGATCTTTGACCCACTGTGTATTTGCACCTGGGCTGGGTCCAACCAGCCCGTCCCTGGCTGCTGACCCCCTGATGTCACACCTTTCCTGGAGAAGTGCCACTGTGAAGAGCGACCCAGGCGCTGAGAGGCCACCCAAAAGCAGCCAGCACTGCAGATCCCAGACTGAGAAAACCACCTGGTGGCTGGCATGTTGCACTGGGACATACTCCGCTGATGTTGGCATTTGCCTGACTTGGGCTCCCCAGCGTAGGTGTCCAAAAGCCTTGTCAACCTCTTTGGAAGCCAGATCTTAGTGACTTCAAACTCTGCTGCAGGTCTCAGCAGAGACCGATGTCACACAGTCTAGGCAGTGGGAGGTGAGGTGTCAAATGCCACTCCCAAACCAGACCCAGCAAGCCACCAGGAGACCAGGCCTTCCGGGGTCCTCCCTGCTCACCCCCCACCCCCACCCCCAGGCCCCTGCCGTGAAGCTGGGAGGAGCAGGGGCTCCCTCTGCCCAGCGCGCACATAGGGTACAGGGCCCTTCAGGCAGCCACACTGTGGCGACTCCGGCCGGCTCAGGACGGTGGCCAGTCTGCAGGCCTGGAGATGCTCTTCCTATGCAGGGTGGTCTGGCCATGGTAAAGGGAACAAGGACGTAGTGTCCGGAGCAGCAACTCATGGGTTCCAGAGGAGCCCCGGCAGGCTGGAGGGGGGCTCAGAGGGGCAGGATCAAAGCCTGCACCCCCTGTGAAGTCGGAAGGCCCTGAGTCTGTGTTTTCTCTCTGCCATTTCATGGAAGACGAAGAGAGAACCTGCTGAGTATTTCCCGCCCTGTGGACCCAGCTAGAGGAGGTAAGTGAGGATGAGTCAACACTTCCTTCACCTCCCGGCTCTTCATTTCCTCATTTGTAAAGTGGAAATAATAACAAGGCCTCCCTTGCACTGTGTGAGGAGGCACTGAGATAAATGCAATGAGCTACGGCATGCAGGGGCATCTTTAGACCTGCGTGGTGCCAGCCTCACTTGGCCTGGGGCTGCATTCCTCTCTCCGGAGGGAGGGCCCGGACCCTGGAAATAAGGGGACTTGCTCAGATGGACATTGCAAGTCTGGGCTTGGGTCTGCGGTTCCTCTATGTCATTTCACAGGATAGAGAGACCACGTAGTATCGCAGCGCGTCATGGTTGCTGCAGCAAGCCCCGCCCAGGGTTCCTGGGGATTGTCCTCAGTGAACTGCCTCCTTCCAGGCTGGGCATCTCCTCCCAGTGGGGGCCTCTTGAGCAGGTTTTCTGGGGGGGAGGGACTGTACCTCGCTCTGGGGCAGGGCTGTCCCCAACCTCAGGCCCCCTTACCTGCCAGGAAGCACACACGCCACAGGCCCGAGTGCAGGGACAGCTTGATCTCGGTGCTCTGGTTCTGGGGCAGGACCACGCCCTCCTCCAGGTAGAGCCAGTAGTCGGTGCTGACGGCGATGCCCAGGAGACCCAGGCCACAGACGGCAAAGACACTGCTCAGCAGGGTGAGGGCCTTCCGCCCACACGCACTCATCTTCCTGGACAGCCGTGTGCACCTGCAGGTCCCACCAGCAGGGAGTGGGCTCTGGGGACAGGGGACAGGGTGAGATGGCAGTAGCAGCCACGGCTCTGAGCAGCCAAGATGGGGACCTTGGGGCAGTGGCTAATGTCACACCTGCCCGGCTAAACAGATGAGCAAGGACAATAGGACAGCTCCCTGGACAGCAGGCCACCACAATGAGAGAGGTGACACCCTCTTCCTACCCCTATCAGGACTTCACAGCTTCTTGGCAGGCCAGTACAAGGGCCCTCCCTTCCTCTCTGGGAGTCCCCCTGGCTGGATAATGCCACCCACCCATTCATTCAGCAACCTGTTGTGCTGATATGGAGGTAAGACAAACACACCACTCAGCAGCCTTGCCCTGAAGAGCTCCCATCTAGAAGAACAAATATACTCTCCAGGCAATTAAAATGCAGCTTGAGATCTGCCCTAGAGCTGGAACACGGTGGAGGGACGGAGGCGAGGAGGCTGCTGGGGCCCACTTCTCTGCAAGGAGAAGGACTCTGAGCCCCCGCTGGCCGAGAGCAGCGGAATCAGCGGGGCAAGCGGCTGAGCCTTGGGAAGAGGCAGGGGGCAGAGGAGGCTTCCCGGGACGGCGTCTTCCTCATGGACCCTAATCACGTGTTGTTCTGGGTCAGCATAGCTAAAGAAACCATACCACAATCCAGGTCCAGTGGGTCTCCTAAGCCCACCTCCTCAGAAAATGACTCTTGCCTGCTCAGCACGTGGTATTGGCAGGAACCAGCTCCGAGCCAGCCAAGGAGAGGCTGGGAGTCTGTGCAAGGTGTGCACAGATGTGCTGCAGGGAGCACACCTCCCAGTCCCTGCCAGGGCCGGGCACAGGACCAGGCCAAGAGCTGAGTAAAGTGAGGACTGAGGCTGACTGAGGCTGGCCCCCCAAGAGCCCACAGCCCAGCTCAAGGATTCTGAACTCTGCCTGCAATCTAGTCCCCCAGGGAGCGTCTAAGAATCCCTACTGCCTCGGAGATTCTGGTGCAATGAGTCTCACACGGGGACAGTGGTATCTTTAAGTGCTCCCAGGGATTCTAACATGCACCCGGGGTGCAAAGCATTGATCTTTGCTACTCCAGGTGTAATCCAGGGACCAGGAGCATCAGCACCGCCTGGGAGCTGGTGGAATCTCCGGTCCCTACAACTCTGTAAATCAGAGTCTGCATTTTAACAAGATCCAGGTGAGTTGCACACCTGAGAAGGACTGTGCCAAGCAAACAGGGATGACACTACAGTGTAGTAACTGTTGTGATGTGGAAAACCCAGGATGTGATGAGAGCCCAGAAGAGGGTGGCCCAGTGGGACTGGAGGGGCAGACAGAGCCATTTCTAAAGAGGGTAGGGCCTGGGCAACTCAGTACGTCGCCTAACCCAGTCATGCCTGCAATGTCGCTAGCTGCCAGCGTCTTTCATTGGCTTCTTGCAATAACACAGAGTCAGAAATTTTGAAACAGGATGTTCCTGTTCAGGGAAGTGTTAGGTTCCACGGCACCAAACTCAGGGGCCAGGGATGATTGCACGGACCCTACCCAAGACATGGCATCGTATCTCAGCTGAGACACAGGTGGATCGTGGCTGAGCCAGCGGGAAAGGGACAGAAGCCACACTCAGGTGTGGAGGTTTGACTGGTCTGTGGAGTCTGAGCTTGCTGTAGGAGGTGGGGGAGAGAAAAGGGGAGGAAAGTGGGCATTCTTTGCAAGAAGGGGGGACATCCTGGCCCTGATTCCTCAGCCCCAGCCCTGCCCTATCAGCTGCTCATGGGAAAGTTGATATATAGAATGATCTCCACGCTGGCCTCCTGGAGGCATGTGTGAGTTCACAAAGCTAAATCTCCCTGTCCGCTGGATCATTAAACCTGAGAGCTCGGGTTTAATCCAAGCCAGTCCCTCCTGCACTGGCTTTGACAAAAAAGGGAAAAATGAAATGCAGAACAGCCAGCCTTCCACCAAGCCAAGTCATTCTCCACTCAGTAGGGTAGGAGGCACAGTGGAGCATTTGGCTCCACTCTAATAAAGCACCTACTATGTGTGGAGCCCTGTGCTTGCTGCTGTGGAAGTGGAAAACAGAGGCACGGGTGCTTGCAGAGTTCATGAGCTGGAAAAATAGGAAACAATAGCATCATGACTATGGGGGAGGGGGGGGCAGCATCCTAGCAGATGGAAGCTTGGGTCCCAATGAGGAGGGGAGGGGTGGCAGGCAGGCTGCCTGGAGGAAGCCTAGGGAAATGGCTATTTGGATTGGCAGATGGGCTGTGATGGGGTAATGATAGTACCTTTTTATGGTGGTCTACTAAGTACTTTCACTTACATTTGAGGCTTGCAAAACCCCAAAATCTGCCAGAGAGAATGGAATTAGAATACCACGGATGGTTAGTATGGACAAGGGGAGGAGAAGAGAAAGGGGTATGATGCCCGGATGAGAACACCTGCCCCGGGTGCTGCAAGGAGCCTTGAACGGAGAGGCAGGAAAGCTGGACTTCATACTCAGCCCTGTCACGGAAGAGTTGTGTGAGCTGGAAAACTAGCCTTTCTGAGCCCTGTTTTTCTCCTGGGTAACATAGGGGGAAGAGACTAATCATAAAAGCTAAAGTTTATTGGCTCTTGTCATGGTTAGGCATTCTGTTAAGCACTTATTCTATGTTAATCCTTACAGCTCTATTACCATCCCAAGCGGAGGATCAGAGAAGTTAAGAAACTTGCCCAAGATCACTCAGCTAGCAAGTGAGCGGTACCTGCATTTGAACTTCACCCTGCCTCATTCTCAATACCTTTCTCGTGCCGTCCCTATGAGTGTTTTCCAAAGTGGGTTCCATGGAGCAGTACTTCCAAGGAATATTCTAGAAAAAGGACTCTGGTGGAAGAAAGCTTGGGAAGCACTGCATCTAGGTTTTGAAGAGTCACATTGTACATTAAAATGTTAAAGTCTTGAAAAGCCCATTTAGCTTCTCTAGTTCCAGTGTTTCCCAAACTTATTTGCCCACAGAATGGCATCTTGTTCTGTGGAACCCACTTTGGGAATGATGCTGCCCCCCATGGAGAATGAAAAAGAATTGCCCTGCCCACTCCACAAAATGCTGGGGGTTTAAACGCAGCAGCAGCTATGACAGTGCCCTGGAAGATCTAACGCCCTCACCTGTGTAAGGAGTTAGTACTGTGAGAAACAGTGGGTTAATAAGCCCCTGTTCTTGGGGGGCAGACACAACAGGGCTTCTGAAATACAGCAGGCAGACAGAACGGGGCTCCTCCACTGCCTGGCTGGAGCTGAACTGCCAATTACAATGGTAAACTTGGCAGAGAGAAGAAAAAAGATTTGGATCTTGGAGATTTGGAAAGATGAAAGTAGAGAGAAGACTGGATCTGAATCTATAAAAGCAAAATATAAAAGAGGTGGTTGAAGCTGACCCAGCCTGGGAACCCCTACACTAGCAGCCTGTGAAGCCCGGAGGGAGCTGGGAGAAGGAGAAAGCCCCCTTCCAGAGTACATAGCAAATTTATGGAAGTCTGCACAGAATGGAAAACAACAATCTTATTATTAAATGACTGTATTTATACTTCTATTATGAAACCATATTTATTTATAAAGAATACCATTGATGGAGTACTGAAAGCCTTTGATCTCATCATAACCTCACAGAATCCCATAAATAGGTAGTATTAGCCCCATTTCATGGATGGGGTCTGAGGCTCAGAGATGTTGAGTAGCCTAAGGACATCCCAGGTGCGTGGCAGGTGGAGGGTTGACACCTAGGAATAATTGCAAGTCTATACTCCAGCTACACTATCTCCCTACGGAAGAAATAAATGGGTTTTAAGAAGGGTCGGAGTGAAGAGGCAGATTAGGTCACTAGGGAATCTAAGAATGAAGGCGGCATGCTAAACGGGAGACTGTCCTTGGGAATAGCCAAGTGTTGCGTGAGGGCTCCTCTCTGCCTGGTCCACCTGGGCTTGCCACGAGGGGCCAGCGGTGTTACCTTCCCATGTCAGGTTCAGGGAAGTGCACTCTAACTCAGGATTTCTGATTCTGAAAACTCCTTTTCTAGGACAGGAAGAAAACCCTCTTAATATTTCCCTCTAAGCCTGTATTAGGAAATCCAGGTCCAGAGGGGAGATTACCTGGGATTACCCAGCCAGCGCCGTGGAGGCACAAGAGTATGAGCTGGAAATCTTTTGAAAGCTGATCCAGTGCTTTTTTTCTCTGTCCTGCATGGAAAATTATAAGGCAGAAGATGAAAATTACCTGTGTTTCTCTACTCTGAAAACAACACCATTATTAACACCTTAGATCACTTACTTGTAGTCTTTCTGTTCCTATGTAACTGTGCACGTGCGCACACATTTTCCTCCTCTCGCTGTCTTCAGTGGGTGGGGGCAGGGCCAGGAGTGCCCTTGCAGATACTGTGGTCTAGAGAGAGTTCCTAGTTCCCTCATAATCAGGCCTGTGCCCACGTCTTTGCTTTCACATGCTCGCTTTCCTTCCCATGAGTCCCATTCATTTGGTTTTTCTGATGGGGAAGGCAGACCACCATTTTTATAAGCTGCTGCCATCAGAGAAGATGTCTATGCTATAATATCAAATGAATAAAGCGGGATGTAAAACAACTTGTATAACTTGAACTCGACTGTGAAAACAAGTTCAGGGACTGGGAAGAAATAAACCAAAATGTCGACAGTGGATGCTTCCAGGTAATAAGGTTATGTATATTTGATTGTCTTTACATTTTTCAGCACTCAACAAAGCTTCTAAAGGAGCATGTATTATTTCTATAGGCAGAGAAGAAAACTAAAGACTAGAGCCATCAATTCTCCAATCACTGTCCTCATAAACAAAAGTGAAATGCAGGGCCCAGCTAAACTCCTGGGCTAGAGATGCTGAAATGCAGCATCATCCTTTGGAGCAAGGGGCCCAGAAGCACGGCAGCTTTGAGCCTTTTAAGATGATTATCCTGGTGCCATTACCTCTAAGTATTAACTTGTTAATTATCAGGAATTAATAGTCACTAATTATCATCCCTGGCTAGCAATTAGGAAGAAATGTCTTGTGGAGATTAAATCACTAATGGTGCATTTCCCTGCCCAAGCCAATAATAAAAAGGCTTGCAATAAAGGGCTCAGGTGCTCAGAGATAGGTGACGTTACAGGCATGAGTGAGAGCCTAGTTAGGAGCTGCTGGGGAGGATGCACAGGGTTGAACTGGAGAGAAGGAGACAGAAAGTGGAAGGACGGTCCAGTGTAGACACCTTGATCTCTGTTTCCTACTAGCCCAGAGAAAACCCAGTAGTTGATGAGGGTTTGGGGTGCAGGGGCTCTCGACAGGACTTCTGAGCCAGTTACAGCAGCTGCCCCTGTGAGCTGGCCTAGTGACTCAGCATGAGTTTGGCCAACACCCAGCAGGGTGAGCTGGTGACCAGAGGCCAACCCCCGGGGGTCCTATGGCTTTTGCTGCTTCCCATCATGCTGATCCCCTTTCCATTCTAGGGTGGTGAAAAAGTGACCACAAATTCTTTGACACTCCTCCCATTCAGAAGTGGGGTCCATACAGGCTGAGTCTTAGGCAGGTTTGTGATGACTTCAACCAATAGAGCACACGGAAGTGATGCTATGTGACTTTTGAGGCTGGGTCATAAAAGGACCTGCAGTCCACCTAGTTCCCTTGGGAGCACGCTCAAGGGGAAAGAAGTAAGAAATCATGTAAGCAGCCCAAGGCCCCTGAGATTGCCATCCACTACTGACATTTGGGGCTGGGTAGTTCTGTACTGGGAGGTGTCATGTGCATATGAAGATGCTCAGTAGCATCTCTAACCTCTATCCACCAGATGAAGTAGCACCCTAGTTATAATCAACAAAAATGTCCCCTGGGTGGCAAAACACCTGATTGAGAACCACCGACTTGGAGGCCATGCATACTATGTGCTCTGGTGGACAGCCTGGCTGAGCTCCCAGCCATGGGGCTACCCAGCCAGCCTGAAGTCCAGCCCAGTTGAACCTTCAGATTGCTGCAGCCCCAGCCAATATCTGACTGCATCCTCATGAGAAACTCCAAACAAGAACTTCCCAGCTGAGCACTTCCCAAATTCCTGACCCACAAAATCATGAGCAAAACGATAGTTGTGTTTTATACCATTCTGTTTTGAGGGAATTTGTTATTAGCAGAAGTTACCAAAATAACCCTATTACTCAATTAATTAGCATCTTCTTCTTACTGCCTAAGTATGATATAAACCTCAAGAGTCACTCTCTGGAATGTAGACTTAGTAATGGAGGGCCTGAGGGATCAGGCCAATCTGAGTTGGAATGCCAATTCTTCTACATCACGTCATCAGCAAGTCCCATGACCACTCTGAACCTCAGGATCTTCATCTGTATAAAGGTATAGCTTTATATCCCTTTGTGGTGAAGATTTACGCAAGTGTAATAGAATAAGGTGGCTGCTTCATGCCATCTCAGAACAGTGCTGCAGTCGGAGATTAAAACCACCCGACACCAAAGATCAATGAACAGGGCAGATTTAATAGGGTAAATGTTACTGAAAACGGGCAAAATGGTCCAGACTTCCTTGTATCCATCCTGCTCTCCAACCTCCCTCTCATCATGGCAGTTGTTCCCTGCAGAATTGTCCTCATTTCCATCCTTACCAAATTTCAGGCCCCCTGTCTTCTCTCTCACCTCCATATCAACTAAGGCATTTGGACCGAAGAGATTTTAGGTTCTTACTTCAGGAACTAAAGTGCTCTGCATAATGATATAAAGGGTGCCTTCGTGGTGGGTGGGTACCATGACATTTCTGTAGACACGGATAATAAATATAATAGCAAACATGTATCAACTGTTTAAGTATTAAGTACAACGGAGGCTCAGCGTTAGAAGGAAGTGTGTCACCTAAGCCTTGGAGACCTCTAGGCGTCATTACTGTCCTGCTCTCCCAATTTGGGACCCCCCCCTTTAATTAGAGACACTGCCTTCCACCAAGGGGTCATGAAGCTGCCAGCTGGGTGCTGATGAGTGGCCCGTTTTCCATGCTGGCCTCACCAAGCTCTCCCTGCCACAGCGCTAATGTTCTTTGGAGAATGTGAGTATTGCCAGGCGAGGACTGGCTGTCCTTTGACAAAAGCAAAACCCAGGGAGTGTGCTCTCTGCATTTCAAGCACTCTCAGACTCAAGACTAAGAGCAAAAACCCCAGCCAGCCTGTCTGCCAGGAATGCAGGCTATAGAGCCAAGGATGCAGAGCTCTGGCACAACTCTGTGACACTGTGTGGGCAAACCTTCTAGGATGTCAGCGTCTGACAAAACTGGTTTGGCAGAAGGTTACTGATGGACTGGTTTCCATAGGAGACCAAGGGGCACCATGGGTACCCACCAAGGGCCACTGCTTTTGCAAGAAAAAGAAATCCAACCAGAGAGATTGCTGATAAGAGACTTTGTTGAAGGTCCAACAGGATAGCTTATAAGGTATCCACGACGTTTCTCCAAAGCCTGGCTATAGACATGAAGCCAAGTGGAAGAGCATATAACCAGGGAGTACCAACCAAATAGTGATAATAGTGATTATATCATTAATATTATTTTCTTTGAAAACTTTCTATACAAATTAAAAATTTTTTATGCATTACAAATGTGACCTTTCTACGCATACCATAGCATAGCCTGATTTTATTTTACTTAACTGCATCAATATTTCTGCAGTATTTTTAGTACCTGCAGAATATATATATTCTCTGATTTGGATACACCAAAACTATTAAAACCATTTCCCCTACTGTGGAACAGCTAGGTTGTTTACAAAACCCTCCCTATTGTAAACAATGATGGGCAAACACCCTTCTAGTTAAATATCTGCAGACATCTGCAAATATTTTCTCCAGATAAATTTTTTCAGGTGCAATTTCTGGAGTAAAGGGTAGGAAATATTTTAGTACTCTTACAAGTACTATCACACCTTATTCAAAAGGTTTCAAAGGCAGTTTTACCCCTGCTACCTGAGGTATATATAACAAAGGTCCCCCTGTATAGACACAGAAAATTCTCAACTGCCCCACATCAAAAGAGTCCTCCCTATATCTGTTGAGAATAAAGAAAGCAATGGAATCTGGGCTCTGCTGTGCCCTTACTGCTATCCTTGCTGTGTCAACATGATGTTCAGGACTAGCCTTCTATATTATTATTGATGCTCCAGGAAATTTCAGGGCCTCCTATGTAAATCTTACATCAGAGATTTGAGACTTTTTCAGGAATCATCATCACCAGTGAAAGACTGCAGACATATGGATGCCCAGATCAAAATCCACTGAAAAGAATCATTAGGAAGAATACTATTGTGGAGATAAAAGGGTGGACACAAAAATAACATAAAAAATCAACAGCTATAACACAGTAGCCAGCTGGAAAATATAATGCTATCTATATAGCAATAAAATGGTAAATTATAGGGGAATAAACTTAACAAGTTATGTGCTGGTGCTGCATAAAGAAAACCTTAAAACTAGTGATGAGCATAAAACAAGACTGAGAAGTAAAATAAAACATCATGTTTTTAGATAGAAAGACAATGAAAACATTTTATGAAAAATGTCAATTCTCTCTATTTTATGAATTTAATGCAATGAATTCTTTTTAGAAGATGACAATTGATTCTGGAGTCAAATTAGAGGAAGCAACATTTGAGAATAGCCTGGAAAATCCTTTAAAAAATAAAGATAGATGAGTGGGAACTACCAGGTATGTATGCTTATTATGTAGCTACTACAATTAAATCAGTTTGATGTTGATGAAAAAATCATCAAATCAATCAATCAATGGAACTAAAAAGAGAGTTCAGACTCTGGCTAAGTTCCATGTCTGGCTCTGATGAACTAGCTTATATTAGATGAACTTGCTTTCAGACACTAACTAGACTGGCTGAATAAAGTATAAACTATATGTTTACAGACATGTAGAGAAATCAAGGAAACCAAGATTTTAGAGGTCAAGACCCAAAGATAAAAGAAACGTTTTGATATAAGCTTGACATTTTGTACAACTTCTCCACTTGAAGCATGTATGAGTTCATACGGGGTGTGGGTCTGAGAGGCTGAGCTAAGGGCTGTGAAGATCTTACAACAGATAGATGATGCTATGGAGTCAAATGTTAGAGTTCAGGGCTCACCAATGAGGACAGGTCTGATAAATAGCCCATTCTTTCAAACTGAGGACCTGGGAAGGCTCA